CTAAAAGAATTTGATCATTATTTAACCTCGAGTGATGATTAAGGGTGAAGGCTTGTCAGCTTTCATGAATTATTTTTTCATGATTTTCGCTGTTTTGATTTGATTTTTAAAACTCCATAATTAACACTTATTAACATGTGGATCCCATCCCCACCCCCCATGATATGTGGGCAAGGCAAGAACAACAACAAAAAAGATGAATAGATATGCTTAATGGTCAAATTAGATAATTATAAGACAATTCTGTTTCAGGTACAGCAGTGCCATGCCCACTGGTTTCCTACTTTAGTCAGCTAAGTTTCTACAACCATTATGCAAATAATAGATATAGTATTTACTTTTAATGCTATAAATACATATCTGTTTAAGGCGAAGAAAACTGTTCCATTATTATAGTGATCAGTGCCAGTCAAAGTGTGGTCCGAGAACCAGCAGCATCAAGCATTACCTAGAAGCCTGTTAGAAATATGAATTCTCAGGCCCCAACCAGATCTGCTGAATCAGACTCGCTAGCAGTGGGGCCCCAGGATTCTGTCTTAACAAGCTCACCAGGTGATTCTCTGAGGATTGAGAATGACTGCTCTAGCATCTTGTAAACTATTTCCATTCGCTACAATGCAACATTGGCAAGTATGGAGGCTCCAATCCCAGCAACACTGTAGGCATTTCTTGATACCTGCAGAGGGATAAGTTTTAGGGGCGCCTAAGCAAACAGGCTCTTTTGGTCAATTCTGTGAGTCCAGGGGTTTCTCTTAAGTAGAATTTCTTTTCTCTTCAAATCTCCTGAGTTCACAAGTCATCGTTTCTTTCCATTACCAGTCTTAATTGTTAGTCTGTCCTCCCTGACATTTATGATACCCTTTGTAATGTCAAAAGCTTCCCACCAGCCTGAACTCCTGCTGTTTTTTCCTTCCATTAAAACCATTTCCTTGAAGTCACCTTGAGCTGCTTAAATAATATTAACATCCAACATGATGTTCTTCTGTATTTCTTCATAGCAGAACCTGCACTATGATCTTTTGATAGCCCTATGGGTTAAAATTATTTACAGAACTCACCAGAAAATGGAGAGACACTCCATTGCAAGCACACCTAATTCAAAATAACACAGTGGAACATGCATTCAGTAGAGAGTGCTGATGTTCACTGGCCAGGACTGTGATGCTGTCATGACACACTTTTTCTTTAGCCAAGAGGGTGACATAACTCTTAGCATGAGAGAACTGTATCACAGAGTTTGGTAATTTAGATAGATGATTGATTGATGAATGGTAGATAGATAGATGTGATAGATGATAGAGAGATAGAAAGACATAATTTTTTAAGGAAAGTACTTTAGAGACAAATAACATTCTAATGAACCAGCATGCATGAGAGCAGTGTTAAATGGACTCAGTAAAGATGACAAAAAGTGAATGTCATCTTGTGACTTAATCTTCATATTATTTCATACATTCTGTAAATGAATATATTCTTTTTAAAGGCCCAAATGCAAGGACAAATATTTAGAACAGTGGTTCTGAATCCTGAATGTGCATTGAAATGACTTTTAAGTTTGTTAAAAATATAAATTCCCTGGGTTCTGAGAGATTTTTATTTTGGTATGTCTGAGGTAGAACCCAGGAATCTGTTTTTAACCAGCACTCCAGGTGATTCTGGTGCAGGCGGTCCTTAACTTTCGTGTTGAGAAACGCTGCAAATCTAACTCAGAAATATGAGGAAAATGGTTGTTAGTATGAGACAGTAAAGCTCAACCAATTTCACAGGCTTTATACCTGCTTTGGATCCTTGTAATATATTATTTCAAGCTTTTGAATAGCACATATATTCTGCCTAGTTCTAGAGCTATTTGTGTACTTGCCTCAGTCCCCAAAAGACTGTAAAGCTCCCTGAAACACAAGAATTATGTGGTATACTGACCTTTGTGTATTCAGCTGGGTTTACCTCAGGCCTTCTCATTATTGAGAAGGGGCTCAATAATATTTGTCAAATGAATTAAGACAATAAGGGTAAAAATGCAATTCTAAGAGTGTGATTGAAACAGTCAGAAAGTTTAGTCTTGGCCTTCCTTCACCCACCGGCTATGAGACCTATGAGTCAGGTCATCTCTCAGTGGCTGAACCTAGCATTTGTAACATGGGAGATCAGTTTCTTCCTCTTTCTGCTGTAGGGTAAAAATGAGATAATGCACACGAAAATGTTTTAAAATCTTAGATCTATTTATTTCCATTTTCTTGACTATGACTGTCCTGTTGCTCTAACCTCATTTCTCCTGTGAATGAGTGCTAGGTTGTATGACTAAGGCAAATCCTATTATTTGGAATTTAAAAGATCTATGTGACTTTTCCAACTTCAAAGAGAGTAAACAATAAATTAAATACTAGAAAATTATAATATGAATGGAAGAAATACCCCACAGATAATGGACAATACAAAGGGAGAGAGATACACAGGAGAGCAAATTTACTATTCACATTGCAGTTTGACCCTGAGATGGGGACTTTCAGAAGTCTGTGTTTAATGAAATGCTGTCCGAATTTTAGTGGGTCCCTTGAGGTTACTTAAAAGGTAGCAGGTATCTGATAAGATGAGCTGAGAAGTACAGGTATATAACATCCTGTTAAAAACCTCTAGGTAGGGATTACAACCACCCTTCAAGCGGTGAAGAATCCAAGAACTGAAAGAAACTAGATCACTTACAAGAGGCAATGCGCCTGGTGGATAAATGCTGGTTTAGGACTAGTGCCAGCCCAATGAGGAAAATAAGGAAAATGTAGTGAGTTTTTCATGAACACAGTAGGAGATTAAAAATTGGTGGTGGGTATATGAAAAATAAAGATTATTCATAAATGTTGTCATCCAGATAAGTAAATTAGGTATGGTGTCGATGGTATAAAATTACTGTGTTCAATATGTTTTTCCATTTATTCTATGGTGGCCTCATTTGAGGCCTTTCCATGCCTTTGCTCCAAGAGCAAGTCTAAGCAGAAAGCACAAAGGGGAATTTCTCTTTCATGCACACGACCAACCAAATAGCCCTATGTCAGTGGTGAGGAACATTCCAGAACTAGTGATAGAGGGGTCGTGGCTACTGGCTGAAGTTCTTGTTGGATCTAGAATTAAAACTCACATCCTTGGTTCTATGACTAAGTACTTCCCTATTACATGATAAATATCTTTGTATTTCCAATGCTTAAATTGTAGTTAATCGGCGTTCGTTGAAGATTTGAATGAATAGATGTAAAAATGAATCTCAGGAAAAACAATAACTCCATAAAGCATTAGTTAGGTTTTCTCCAATTATCTGCTGCTGTTTTGTTTCAGGGACCTATCGGAAATAGATAGCAAGGGACCTTGAACTTACTAACTTGCTAAGAAGGACAGCAAACAGGAAAAAAGTGGGAGTTCCTCATGACCAAAACACATTTATGTTAACTCCGTGATGGATATTCCAGGTGTTCTGGCAGGCATCTTCCTGGTCAAAGATTTAAGCTAAATTTGAGCTCAGTGTCTAATAATATTCAGACTTGTTTCCCTAAGAATCCTAAGAATTCTGTAATTAAATTTTATCAGACTTCTTTGATGCATTGAAAAAATTTTCTTTTCCTTGAATATGGCCTAGGTTTGATAGCAAAAGGATTAGGAAATGGAATGGAACTAACTTCCATTGAGTGCCTTACATATGCCAGATATTTTGCATATTTATTTATTAAGTTTTCTAATTTTGCAGTTGAGGAAACTAGAGCTTAGGGAACTTAAATAACTTGTCTATGGACTTCACAGGGAGCAAGAGGCGGGGTTGGGATTCATATCAAGTTTTGTGTTTTCAAGGCTTATTCTTTGGTTCTGGAACTTGTCATTTGGCCTTTTCTTTCCAGCAAATGTGAAAGACACGTGAAACAGACTTTAGCTAGAAAAAGGAAGGATTATAAAGAATTGAATGTGGTATGATGAAAAGTCATACTGCTTATCTATAGGTACTATGTGATTTAGGGCCTTAAATTATCCAACTGTAAGGTCATAGGGTGGGTATAGATAACTTCTGAGCAACCGCATGGCCCAATCTGCCAAGGCAACTATTATTAGACCCCCTTCTACTCTTAAAAGTGTTCCACTGTGGATTATAAATTCTAAGACTGCCCAATACGTAAGGTACTTTCCAGGTCTTAATTTCCCTTATTTCAAATTGAATCTAATAATTTCTTTGATGACTGAAGCAACATGAATTTTCATTTCCCAGGCCTGTGAGGTGTACGGAACTGACAGTATGTGAGGTGACCTTTGTCTAGAGGCTGCATTTCTGGTAGGGATATTTTTTCTGCTGCTCCCCCTTTTCTTTTAAAAGTACACCAGTAAATTCCCTTCTAGCCAATTTGGTTCCAGTTAATGAGAGATCATTATATAAATATTTGTTTCCAGTTCATACTAATAGTGACTGTCACTTACTGAGTGCCTAGAATAAGTCAGGTTAAGCGCTGAGTGCATTATCTCATTCAATGCACTTATCAATGCTATAAGATAGCTCACTGTCTACATAAGGAAACTGAGGCTCATAGAAGTGACTTGCAAGTAAGAGATGGAGTCAGGTCTTCTTAATCTCTTAATTATTATGCTATATTGAGATGTGTATACAGGCATGCACACACACACAAACACAGAGCAGATAATTTTAGAAATTAGCAGGCCCCCTAAATTTCCATTGGCCTTTCCTTTATCACTGTCAATGCTAGTCTTTGTAATTTCATCTCCCATTGCTTCCACCACCCACCTTTACCTTAGAGTAGAAGCATCGGCCTGAAGACAACGGATTTTGACTAAGAGACAGATTCTCAGGAAAAACAAACAAGGTATTAGAAAGTAGATGTGATGAACATTTACTTTTGTATTCAAACCTTCTTCTTCTTTTTGGGAATGTCTTTTTTAACCAAAGTATAACACAGAAAACAGACATTTGCTTTTTCATTTATATTTATATAGACAACACAAATAAAAACCACCAGTTAACACTCATATCATTCTGCTTTTATTTATTGTCTGGCTAAATTACAAAGACGCAGATGTCTTGGATAGTTCCTATGCTACCATTTAAACTATCCTGGTGACATTGATACCAAAATGTGCATGTTTACATAGTGCAGTGGAATGAAAAACACTTTTCTTCCTTTATAGTCCCTGGCTATAAACAGGGAGAAATTAAATTCATGCCAAAATTTTTTGGGCACTTTAACAATCATCCCGTTTCTGCTACTAAGATAACAAAATGGGTATTACAAGTTAAAATATAAAGGCCTACCAGTTTTTACAAATATGTAAATAATCTGCTACTTAGACATAAAAAGTCAAATTCTTTCAAATCACAAAGTAAGGCACCATTGGATTAAACATTTTTCTCAGCTTTTACTAAATAAAATGCATAGCGAAATAAATACTGAACACTGAATTTTAATACTGTAATACATTTCAATATAAAATGATATGTGAATGTTAAAATACTGTGTTGCATCTGGAATACATTTATCTGGAAATTTTATGGGAAAAAAACACATGTAAGCTCTGATTTCAGGGAAGGAAATACTCATTTTTGTGATCTGCCATAGTTGAAGATCTTAGCATAGAACTTATTCAAAGTTTTGTATGCAACTGGGTTGCTAACTTTCAAAGCAAGGGTATAATAGGTGTATTAATGAAACAGTCACTTAAAAACACATTCTAAAACATCTCTGTCCTGGGTGAATAGCAACTTTGAGCTGTGACCCTGTTTCAGACTTTAGGACGGTACCTGCAAAGTTAGAATCTACAAGAAAATTGGCCATTCTTACTTCCTCTCACAAAATTCGGACCCGCTTTTTTGGGGTCAGACTTTTCTCTGCAGTATTTGCTAGGAAGGGCTCTTTTCTGAAGTCTGTCATTAGGCTTTCTCATAGGGATTTTAATCGACTTGATATATGGTCAAAGGATCCAAAATAAAGTGTTGTTGTTATACTGTCAAAATGCTGCAGATAAAATTTTTTTTTGGAAAATACCTTGCCAAGCTTGTTATACCTTTATGTTTCTTGATTCTCTTTGGATAAAGGGCCCTAAGTGACTGAAAGACAAATGAATGGTAGAGGAGAGGGGGAAAAAACCCAAGTTCTCTAATGTACTAAGCCCAGGACTTTGGCAAGGAAAGTTATAAAAATGCAATACATTCTAATGGGTAACAGCATAATTTATTAGATATCCCATTTATTAGAACTCTAAGTTCTTTTGCTTTTATATAAATGAAACGATTATTTACTCTATAAATAGGAATGTTTCTTTCAAAATTTTCTTTGGATTGATTTCTTGTTAGCGTCTCCCAGTAAAACATGAACAATACGTTGAAGCCATGACACAAAGTTTAGGTAGGTATACATATACATATGTGGCCGTGTGCTTTTAAAAAATAAGTAATGGTAATTTAAAAAAATAATCAACTGTATAAAACATCTAAATGGAAATATTTTTCATCCAACTCTATAGCTAGATTTAAGTCCCAGTAAAGTCTGTAAACACAATTATACAAAAAAAGGCAAGGCTGGCTCTTCCCTATGGTTTTTTTCGGTAGATTTATTTGCATAGATCCAAGGCGAATGATTCTCTTGGGTAGATTAAAAAAACAAATTCCCTCAATTGCAGTAGCAATCTCTTCCTCTCAACCTCATAAGCATCAGGGTTAAATTTTTAGAGTTTTGCCCATCAACCCAAATCTGGTCCTTCCTTTCTTCAGCGTTTCTGATTTGCTATCTTTCTCTGACTTTCCCTCCACTACAGAGCCTATGAGCCTCCCTGCCCTGAGGAGCAAGCTGGGCAGGAGAGAAATGAAGCTGCCTCAGATGCACAAGGCAGGAGTCAACCAACAGATAATCTCCAGCCAGCTGGTTCTGGGCCCGGAAGCCACGACAGGCTTTCAGTTTCTTTCCAATGGCTTTATTCCACGTGACTGTAAACCCTATTAGATCAATTTCTGACCTTGGTGTTACCTCTTGAATTGCTAAAGCTCATCTTGCATTTTTTGTTTTTTTTTTAAACAAGAGGTTTTTGCACCTGCCTCTGTCTTCTATACCTGTACTGTCCAATATAGTAGCCACCAGCCACATGTGGCTATTGAGCCCTTCAAATGTGACTATTCCAAATAGAGATGTGCTTTAAGTGTAAAACACAAACATATTAATGTGGCTACTAGAAATATTTAAGTTGTATATATGGCTCATGTTATGTTTCTATTGGAGAGTGTGTCTTAGAGCCTACTTCAGACTGCCAAAGACTGTAATCTATAACCACAAAAATTTCATGTGAGCCCTTGCTCAGCAACTATCGTAGGTGGTCTGTGGTTCATGGAAACAGACAGGAGGCCAAGCATGCAAAAAAGGCATGGAAGCAAGCAGCTTTCAGGGACTAATATTATCTGTAGCAAATAAGCAGTGAATGTTTGAATTTGGTTGGTTGAAAGCTGGGACACAATTCATCTCTGCCTACTTGCCATAAAAGCCAACTGACTCCCAAGCAGAAAACACTGGTGGGCTATAAGCTGAAGCAAGCAATAACTTTGAGAGTATATACAATATAAAAAGCTAGGTGCATTTCTCTAGTGGATTCCCACCCTGCACACACATATTCCCACATCACCATCCCTTCTTCCCTACTGCCAATATGAAGGGGACAAGGGAAGACAAGGGGAGGAGGGTGTGCAACTCTTGACAACAACAACAGAAGTATCTCTTGGTCTTGGGTGGAGAAGAGCAGGCAAGGATCACCTCGGGATGGGAGGAAGGGGTGGAGCACCCCTTTCTCTTCGGTTGGATCCACCTTGATGAAAAAATAGACAAAATGTAAATTTTGGTTAGAAAACTTATATTCTCACTGTAGACACTCAAGGATGTTTGCAAAGGTACCCAATATCTCACCACCTATGACCAGAGCTAAAAATAACTGGCACCTGTTGATGAGAAGTGAGAAGTAAAGGGAAGACGCAAGCAAGGGTCTAAACAAATGCCATTAGAGGATGACCCACCTCTGGCTACTGATTACTTGCACAAAGTTAAAAACGTTAAAAAAAAATGCTTTTCTTCTCATCACAAACATAGCATGTGTTTATTATTGGTTTAGAAAATATAGGTGAGTAAGAAAACAAAATAGAAAATTCACCCATGCTAGCACCACTCAGAGATAACCAAACATTATTTGTATATTTTCCATTTGTTTTCTATATATAAACAGTTCCCTTTTGTCTTCCAAAAGATTGGATTATATATTGTCAGTATGAACATCTTTCAAAGTAATTACTCTTTACAAATATAATTATTGATGACATGCTGCATTCTCTTATATAGGTATACTCTAGTTTATTTATCTAATCCCCTTTTCTTGGGCATTTAGGTATCTTCTGATTTCTAAACAATGCAGTTTTGATAGTAGCCCTCCTAATGGGTGTGAAGTGGTATTTTATTGTAGTTTTATTTGCATTTCCCTTATGATTAGTGACGTTGAGCTTTTCATGTGCTTATTGACCATCTGTATATCTTCTTCAGAGAAATGTCTATTTAAGTATTCAACCTATTTTTAGAATTGTTTTTGTTGTTGTTGTTAAATTGTGGGACTTCTTTATATATATACTGGATATTAATTCTTTATCAGATATATGATTTGCAAGTATTTTATCCCATTTCAGGGGTTGCCTTCTCACTCTGTTGATAGTGTTCTTTTAAAAACTATGCATATTTATGAGCTATAGTGCACTGTAACCAGGTTTAAAATCCATTCACAATGGACTTGCCCCATACACATTTTCCTGAGGATCTTATAGTTGTTGGGCATGGAACCAGGTGCTCAGATGCTGTGAGCAAGTCTACCAGGGGCACATATCAATTGAGTAGGTCTGCTGTGGCCACTGCTCTGAGACTCAGGCAGGCTTTCACCAATAGATACCTCAGTAGGCATCTCGACAGCGAAATTCATTGCCCACTTACAGATTTCAGAGATAGAACAAAGTTTTTGAGCAAGGTGTCAGAGAAAACACTGGCAGTCCATTACTTTTCTTCTTCCTCTTGCCATCCCAACCAAGTCTTTTCTTGGGCTGGCATCTGAGGAAAGACTATTCTGGATATAAACCAATCATCTGTCATGGGACCTTGACCACCAGTGACATACCACAAGTGGTTAGCAAAACAAGGGCTGGCCTGTGCAAAACTATAATTAGGTGCCACTGCTCAGAGCTATCTGGGTATCCTACCAGGCTGTGGGTCTTGGAGGCCAAGACAACTACAGGAGCAGAATAAAACCACTTGATAGTATTTTATTTATTTTTTTAGAGATGATACATTATCATTATAAAACATTAAACATGCACTAAGCTAGAAATATTTAAAGTAAATCTACAAAAAACATTGGGAGAGGGGGACAGTGGAAATTAATTCACCAATGAAAGAAATAGTTTTAAATGTCTACCATGTTTCAAGCTCTGTAACACTGGAGGAAGATGCAATAATGAGCAAGGCATAGTTTCAGTCCTCAAGTTTTGTATAGTCTTGAAAACAGGAAGGCCGGGGAGAAAATGTGTTCCGCTATTAAACTAAAAATCTAGAGGGGATAGGGAGGATGGTTCTGTTACTAATTTAAATATTTACATGATATTTAAGTTAGATTAAGAATACTTATAAAAAATCAGGAAAAAAATATTTAAAGTTTACGTGAACAACTCCTTAAAGTGAATTCATTTATTAGTGCCCAAGAAAGAAGAAAAACAGGCTGTACTCTTAGCAGAGAGAAGCCCCTCTTATGATGTAAACACACACACACACACACACACACACACACACACACACACACACACATGCTTCAAAGATATTTGTCCCATGTGAAGACTTATTTTTCACCAAAAATTTCAACCACCAACTCACATATGATAATTGTATTATAGTTATACCTATAATGTTGGGCACGTAGCATTCCACATAAATGAGTTTTCCTAGGAATTATTTCCTTTCAACCAGCAATATTGTTTACTTCTATCATTTGTTCATGGAAATTTTCCTAAAATATTTTCTAATTCTTTGAGTTCTTCAATAGAGGCACAAAGCACAACTTAACATGTCCTTAATAGCCCAACAAAAACACCTAGTATGGTCCAGTTCTCTAAGATAATATGACTCCGTGTCCCTATCTCTTCCGTGGACCTGACACTGCCATCTATCACTTCTCCCTGAAGTCAGTGATTTTGCTTCTAACCAACCTTAACTTCAGCTGATATTAATCTGCTCTAAGGCTGGGAACCAACTAAAAATTAAGAGCTATGTGTTAAAGATGAGTCAGTAGGCTCTGAGTATGTATAAGGAGTTCTGCTAGGGAGTATGGACAAGGCTAGAGACATTGTGACAGTTATTTGACATACCCTTTATCCACATATTTCTGGTTTGGGAGTATGGTTCTGAAGCTAAAGCTAGTACAAGTCTGAGACTCTCAGCTCTATACACTTATTGTTGTGAAATATTAGTTTTTCTATTTCCTCTTCTTGTTCACATTTTTTCTCGATGGGGAAAAGTGATTCACTTCTTTATGGTAGCATTACATATATTAGCAAAAAAACAGAAACAGGGAGCATTTGAGATCATGCTTCCTGGCATATGTCATCAATTTGGTTCAAATAAATTCATAAAAAAAGAAAACAAACAAACCAGAAACAATATAAATTAAATGTCCAATAATGGTAAATAAAATTATTATATGCTGACTTGACAGAATCCTGTATAATGAAAAACGATGTGATAAAATAGGGAAGCGTTTACTAAGCGATAGTATATAAACCCCACCACCAAAAAACTGTACTCTATAATTATAACCATATAAATTAATATGGTTAATATTAGATGGATAAAAATTAGATGGATAAAAATTAGAAGAGAACCAGGTAAAATGAAAATCTGTTAAGTGGAGATTATGGGTATACTTAAAATTTTCATGTAATGCTTTGTAAAGCTATAATGCATTTAAAAGATCAAAGCAGTTACAATGAATTTTTATCATAATTAATAAGACATTTTGCCCGTCTCACAACCAGTAGGAATAGAAGATGGCTATATTTGTGCCATCTCAGGGACATCAAAATGGGGGACGATTGTCTAAACAGCAAAATAATAAAATGTAATCTATTAGCAACCCAAAAGTATTCTGAGCTATAATGACTCATTAAAATAATCGTTTCTCATATGAATTCTGGATAGCTCCATTTTCCTCATTGTGTGTAGAAGGAGAGTTTACCAGAATTTAGATGGCTCCAAATCCAGAAGTGGTTTCTCTCCACTCCAGGCAAGAGGCCTGGTTTTCCTATCCAACCCTCGGTTGTATATAATAACCCAAGCTATTCAAGTAGGAAGCTGCCAATAGCCCTTGCAGAAATACTCACTCCGGCTTTCATTTCTTGCCAGTTTACTGGGATAACTTTTGGTCGTTGGCACATATGGCTCTGGAGGTGGCAAATCAGAAATTGGATGGAAGTAGAATCTGCTTTCCCACTCATCTGAGGGAGAGAAACAAACAGTATCTTCAGTAACAGACAATCTGCTGTGAAGACTTATGTAATGAAAGGCACAGAATGAAATTTAGAGAGAACTGAAGAGATCGCATCTAGTTTTATAACTACAGGTTTAGAGAAAAGCTGGAGGTGCCATAGATGTCACTGATTAGCACATCAATAAAATATACTGGTCTGCAGATCAAACCAATGACAGATCCAGGTGATTTTAACTAGAGTGACTAAGACCCAGCCAGTCCCTCTCTGGAGCTGGGGGCTAAGGTTTGGGGCACCTTTCTTAATTACTCCTCCCACCAGTGGAAGGAATAACTGGGACCCTCTGATAAGAAGCAGAGGTAAGCTGCTTAATATTTGTAGGCCATCGGGCCTCTCACTACAGCAAACTGTTTAGAAAGGTAAGTAAAGTAGTAAGGAGGTAAGCTACAAGAATGGTTCTTTTCAGAATTTTGGAATCTCTGGAAAGTTAACTGAAATGAGACTCTAACAAGGAACAGAGAAATGTGATCTGCCTTTTTGGAAAGTGGAGGAGGGGGATTACTGTTTTTAATTTGAAATCATGGTGGGCCCTAAAATAGTTAGTTAGATTACAGCAGTGCAGTGTGATAACAATGAGGGTCATACAAACAAGAAATGTTAATGCAAACACAAATAAACACAAACAAATTTCCCATTCAACTGCTCCCTTATAGGAGTTGAATGGGAAATCTGACCCATTCCAAGGAGTTCTCACCACGCCTCACCTTCACAAGAGGAGTCTTGGAAGCCGTTTCTAATTGATGTTGATGGTGGAGGTGGGGGAGGTGCCCCAGTGCCAAGCCTGTCGGGAGGAAGGGGAGGCCGGGGCCCACTCCTGGGGGTGTCTATTCCACTCCTGGATGGTAACTGCGGGGTGGCAGGGAGGGCCCGAGACGTGCTGCCATTTCTGCTTATGGGAGGAGGCGGTGGGAGAGGGCCTGGAGCAGAAGAAAAGATGACCTTTAGTGCAGTAACTTACAACTTGCATTACTATTATCATGATCATCCTCAGGGTGCAATTACCGAGCATGCACCTGCTGGATACATGCTCTTTTACTAGAGAACACAGAGAAATAAATGGTGGAGACTTCCTGGGAGATTTAGCCAAGAAAGGAGTAGGCACATATAGACCCAGAAAGGCACATATGTATACATGGCTGTGAAATGAGTTCATATTGGGAACAAAATGGCTGTTTTGGCTTTGAGTTAGTATTTAGATTGGAGATGATACAGTTAACTTGAGAACAGGTGATAATGTGTTTATACCGACAACCATATACATGCTTAAACACATTTTAAAATCCTTTTAAGTAGCTATTGAACTAATTATTGTGACATAACAATTATTAAATAAACGTTTTAAAAAAGAATTTAAAAATAAAATAGTTATGAAGTTATTTTAGATCTTCAGAGGGATTAAGTTCTTTAAATGCACAGTATTATTGCTAATCGCACAAGCATGTTTCTGTGATGCATACGCTCTGTTTCCAGGCAGAAGTAGGATCAGGAAATTAAATTAGTCATCCTGAGAGTAGTAGAAGTTCCTTCCTGGTTCTTCCTCTTTTGGGAGGCAGATTAACATAGGGAGTGACAAACAGCTGATCAATGTCAAGGCTATAAATGCAGGTGCAGGCTCCTGACCCTGAGCAGGATGCTTACCCTACGGAACCTAATGTCCTACCTACAAAGGAGCACCGGTCACCTTTCTTACAGCACTGTTGCCAGAAATAACTACTGAAAAGGCAAATAAAAAGTACTATGTAAGTATTTGAAACCATTTTTTAAAAATGCAGGAATATATATAATCAGAAAATTTTAAGTTCCTAGAAAATAATTCAAAGTAAATTCTTTTTGATAATACAAAGGAACTTATCTTGCTTTTCCCAGGCTTCAAATGCAGGGGCTATTTGGGTCATGAGTAAATTTAAAAATAAAAAGAAAGAGAAAAAAAAACGAGCATTTCGCCTGTAAACCAAAATGGACTTAGTCATTATTCCTGATCTTCAGCAGTGTGCTCTACTTGCCAGATGCTGTCATTTTATGTAACACAATGTCTTATGATGCTATAAATATAAATATCTCTTGTTTACTACAAATTCAGAATCCAACTAGAGGACCTTAAAAAGAATGACCCACCCATCACAGGTATCCCTTCCTGGAAGTCTGGACTCGGACACTTGATAGAGGTGGGAGGCATGCCCTGCCCTGGCTGGTCTCCCAAAGAGTCTTCAGTGCCTCACCGAGTAGGGCTTATTTACTGCCCCATCTGCTTGTCATTGCTGGAGTCCCAGTCAGTAAGAGTAGATTTATTGTGGAGAAAAGTATCTCACATGTTATAGGCTTAACTTCACTGGTACTACCACCACATAATTGTCACTCAATGCAAACTAAACTTCCAGTATTACGGGGCCTGGTAACTTGATCGACTTACTACCTCTCTCTTTATCTCTCTCTCTTTTAAAGTAAATGTTCATGTTCCTACTTCTTCAACCTGTCCAGCTCCAAACCTGGACAAGTACAATAGAAAAGAAAACAGATTTCTATTTCCCACTGGCAGCATAATAATAAAAATGATCATTTATGCCGTGAAATAAGATAACCACTAGGTACACTTATCCCATTCTTACAACAGGCTTGGGAAGTGTAGGGACAGCAGATGAGGCCTCAGAGGTGTTGGAAAGTTAAAAAGCCCAAATCAGGAAGCTAATGAGAGGAAGAACCAGGATTTGACTACAAATCTGGTAAATTTGAAAGCCTACCCCCCTAACAATGAAGCCAAGCCATCTCTCAAAACACAGGTGGCCCTTGATATCCTCCCATGTGTTTCTTGTGGGAATCTAACCTAGTAGGAATTTTCTAGAGGCCAATTTGGCAATGCCTATGAAATCTATAGTTTACTATGCACACTCATTGACCTAGAAATTCCATTCGTAGGAATTCATCCAAAAGAAATACACAGAGATGTGCACAAATATTTAGCTACCAGAATGTATTCCTGCATTATCTGCAATAGCAAAATCTGGAGAAGGCCTGTATGACCAAGTAAGGCATTAAATAATCAAGGTACTTTGGCAGGACTTTAATAGTATACAGTCATTAAAAGTTAGGTTGTGTCATATCAGAAAATGTTAATGAGATATTAAATAAAAAGCAAATTACCAAACAATATATGTAATGTGATACAAATTTTGTACCCATGCATATATATGCATTTTAAAAAGATTAAAAGGATATATAAAAAATGTTATCAATGATTATTTCTGGATGGATAGTGGTGGTAGGGTGATTTTTATTTTCTTCATACTTTTCTGCATTTTCTATAATAACAGGTATGACATATAATCGAAAGGAACAACAAGTATTATAATTATATGTCACTGCCTATCCTATTTGGGGGGAGATTTAATGTGCTGATGCATCCATTTGGTGGAGCCATGCAAATAGCTCCTCATCCACTTTAGGACAAAATTCATAGCTTATTGAATAAAAAGAAAACACTGTATTTCATTCATCTGACTACTTGTTCTTGTTCGTTCACTGAAGAATACTTAATGAAATACCAGAATGTCTAGGGATGGGATCGAATAGACTAGCTAACTTTTTATCTATGTAGCCCAATCTCTGTGGCAGAGAGGTTCGAAGGCATGGTTCTCAGATTTTGCCGCACATCACAATCACTGGAATATTATAATCCTAGTATCCCGATGCTTTGTCTGCAACCCAGACCCGTGAAACCAGAAACCCCGGAGAAGGGACGCAGGCATGGTGGTTTTTAAAGCTCCCCTGGCGATTCCAGAATGTGGTCAAGTTTAAAGAATGGTATTAGGTTCCTGGGGTCACAGGGTCAAAGGTCAGTTAGCTTCTCATAGAGAAAAAACATGCCCCATTTCCAAATATCTTGTAAGATAAGGTTAAATTTAAAAAGTAGATAGTTCCTCTGAATCCATCAATAACCAACATAAAACGGAAAGGAGCCTATTATAATTAGTGGAGAGAGTACAAACCCTGGGGAATCCTCACATTTCATTTCATCCTCTGAAAAGTTCTTCCCTCAGGTTCAGGTTTCTCAGCCCCGGCTGGGGCCGCAAATGGGCTTCAGCAGGTCTTTCAATCCATGAAAATTCTGAGTTTGTGCTTAGGAGCATTTTTATGAAGTGAAAGCCTAGGCCTTTATCTGATTCCCATGGAATCTATGTGCCAGAGACGTTAACAAACAGCAAAATGGACTCTAAAATTTGTCTTTAATGAGCGGAAAGTGGCCTCTGAGCTTGACAGATGAAGAGAGAAGTACAGACATTAGCTCTTAAATAACTGCCCTTCTTGTTGAAATAATAGGGCCCTCCTGCAGGAGATGGGAATTTATTTCCCCAATTAAGACATCAAATCACTTTAGGGAGTCAGGGTAGTAGAATGGGGAGATGGAAGATGAAAGTTCTAGCCTCTTCTTTATTAACTAGCTTGTGATCATTTAACTTTACTGATTACTCAGTCTCCTCATCTCTAAAACAGAAATATCAGTCCCACTTTCCCCAGAGGTTTACAGGAGGTCAAGATGAAATCACACAGCCCTACGTGTCACTTAACAGATGAAAACAGTCTGAGAGTTCACTTAAGCTTCTTGTTGGAGTCTATTCAAGTATAGGATTATTAGTGACATTTGGCAGGCTGGGTGGGTTTCAGGGAGACAACTCACCGCATGTCTTGCCATACCTGATCTGCCTGGTGGGTCCCTCACTGGAGGAGGGGGTCTCTCACTGGGCGGGGGAGGAAGAGGACCCGAACGTCCAGGTGAAGGTAAGGGAGGTGCCGATGATGACGTGAGGGACAGATTCCGCTGTGGGAGCCTTGGGATTTCGTCACTGCCGCTGGAACCAGGAGGCATGGGGGGAGGGCCGGGCCTGCTGGGTGGTGGTGGCGGAGGTGGCGCCTGCGACGAGGAGGAAGGCCGCGGGGTGGAAGGCACTGGTGGCTTGCTGTTCTGCGGGGGCGGCGGTGGGACCGCGTCCCTGTGGATGGAGGCCCTGTTGCCCACTGGAGGAGGTGGCGGAGGAGGTTTGTCATCCAAGGCCCTGCTCGGGGTAGGGGGCAGGGGAGGCCTGTTGGAGAAGGGCGAGTTGGAGCCTGTGGGGCTCTGACGGATAGAGCCTCCTCCAAAAGCAGCACCTCGGTTTCCGGGAAAAGGGGGAGGGATCGGCCCAGGGCTGGGCTGCCTGGGGACCCCGGGCACTGGTGGGGACCCCCGGTTGTGCAGACTTGATTGAATGGGTCTCGGCGTATTAGGTACTGGAGGGGGGACGCTATCAGGCTTTGAGCCCACGTCGGGCCTCGGGGGAGGCATTCGGTTCTTCTGAGGCTCTGGGGGTCCACTTCTGTGGCCCGGGGAAGGCACAGGGAACCTCCCCAGGCCGCTTGAGGGTGAGAAAGGTTTGGCAGATATAGATCTTCCTCCTGGTGGCAAAATCGGGGGTCGGCTTCCTCCAGAATCTGAAGAACAGGGGAAAAAAATCGGATAGAAAATGAGAAACTTTAAAAGTAACCAGAGAACTGGAATATACTCCCAACTACTGGAAGTCCTTTCCTAGGTGTTATAAAATATAGGTAACTATTAATTATATATAAAAAGCAAATTACCAAACAATGTGGTCTTTTCTGGAGGAAGAGAAAGGAAGAGATCACAGGTCTCTGTTTACCTTCTAGTGTGAGGTTCTACAACCTGTCAGCTTTCAGAAGGATTCTGAAAAGGTCTCTCGTCATTATGTATGGACGAGGACCAGGATGAAGATGGTAAGAGTGCTGGAGAGATCCCAATCATTATGAGAGGACAAGAAGAGGACAGTTGTGGCACATGAGATTTCTGCTCATGATTTTCTTTTCTCCCCATCACCATTCTGGTCCCCTTGCCTTTGTTCCTCTTAGGCTTAAAAAATAATTTAGCTATTTTAGGTGAAGAAATTAGTTATCCCAATATAAATCTCCACATGGGAGGGCTCATCTAGTCTTTTTGAAGAGAAATTCTCAAGAGAAGGTGCAAATATATAATGGAAGAGTCGTGATTGCAATAAGAAGGAACTAAGAACAGAAAAAGGAACTGTTGAAGTTTAATTCAAAGAGTCGATACCAGTGGATCATCTTAATCTGCAAAGAAGTAAGCAACTACACAACTTTGTTCCTACTGGGTCAATTTCCACTTCAGTATTGGCAGGACAGGACAACCCTATTACATAATTAATATTAAACTGCTTTGGTTCAACAAATGACTAAAGGGAGAACCAAAGCTATAGAAAAATTTAAACTACCACCCCAGAATCTCTTGGAACCCAAGGTAATTGTCAAAAAATGGTTAGCCTGAGAACTTCTACCACTTCATCATGAGCTAGTTAATATACCAAATATTTATTGAGCACTTGCTATACGCCAGATATTATTCTAGATGCTAGAGACAGAGGAGTAAACGAAATAGAAAATATCTTCTCTCTTATAGTTTACATTTTTGTGGGGGAGATAATTAAACCAGCAAACACATATTTGCAGACAGCTATAAGTACTGAAAGAAACTAAAATAGGCTGATGAGATAAAGACTGCATGGAGAGGCTAGGATAGATGGGTGCCTGGGGATGGCTCTTTTAAGGACGTGATGTCTGAGCTGAGGCTAGCCATGGAAAGATGAGGAAGAGCAGGGCTTTGGGCAGAGGACCAGTAGATGCAAAGGCCCTGTGGTGAGAATGAGTTTCAAGTGAAAAAACCGAGGCCCTGTGCCTGAGACACAGTGAGCATGGAGAAAAAAGATCCCTAAGAAATAGAGTTTGAGTGACCATCAGGGGCCAGGTCATAAAGAGCCTCGTAGGCCAGAAGGGGTTCAGCTTTTATCCAAGATACAATGACAGACATTCAGATGGATTTAAACAGTGAAATAACATGAACTCTAGAGACGATGTTTTATTTTGACGTTAGTACTAGAAAAAAAGCTGTATTTTCTTTGACAGTGTGGTCTATTTCTATGCCACCAACACTTGTAATCCATTATATCTTCCAAGTTCAGATGAAAGCTTCAGTTACTACATTACATGGATAGGATCCATTATGTGGATAGTATACTATAAACATATGTACTTTGGTATACCATTTTGTGTACTAACCTAAAGTCCATCTTCATTTTATTATTTTACTTCCACTTGTCTTTTGCCTTAGATCCTTCACTTTTTATTAAATGTATGCATTTGTCAGCTGCCTCAAATCCCTTTGTTGGGTTTTGAATAAGTAAATTTAAATTTAAGTGCACGTCTAGCAAGATCGACTCTCATTATTCTTTTTTTAAATTTTGACCATCCAAGGCTAAAATAGTCAGCTAATCCTGAGGATTCAGTGACTACATCAATGTGAGAATTTCACACTTTTCCCAGCAGACATCTTAAAAGATCACAGAATTAGAAATAAAATTCTTCTAACACAATAAACATGAAAAAAAGAGACAGTTTTATGATACAATTTCTTGAGCTTCTGCTAAGGAGAGCACCTTATACACTCCGTAAGGTTTTTTATTTAGACATGACCAGGAGCAATTTTCTTCTCTGCCATCGGATTCACAGACAATCCTGTAGGCCTCATTTCCTTGGCTCCCTGCAGAGAATACTTAGAATCACTGGCCCTTAAATGCCAATGTCTGTCATGCAAAACACTTTTTAAATTTAGTGAGATACGTAATTATATTCCATAGGACATGCTCCATAGTGTGTTTGAAAAGTGGCTCACAAGTATGTGCTATCCTAGACAGCTGGGTCAGGTTACCTCACAAAGAAAGCTGAATTTCCAGGTCGCCAGGCACAGTTTCCAGAGTTGGCAAGTTCCATTTGCTCCTTTCTTTTCTTCCCAAACTAGATCACCCTTTACAAGTTACCCCTAGGACATTGGACAATATGTAACAGCTCGATAGAGTTATCTAATGCTGATTTAGAAAAAAAAAAAAAATGATGCTAAATAGAGTCTCTTACAAAAGAATGTTAACAGTTCAAGCAATCTAAACTGTTTTCAAGGGCACACCACGACAAGCCTCCAAACCACCAAGCTCTGCCTTGTCTTCAGTTACTAAGAGAGAAAGAAACTCTCCTTACCACCATCCCTGATGGCTGTGGATCTCAGCTTCGGAATTCAAGCCTGGAACAGTCCTCCCAAGCCGGGTGGTCCACCACCTCCAAAGCTGCCACCGCTGCTGCCGCCACCGCCACCACCACCACCACCACCACTGCCACCTCCTCCGCCAAATCCGCCACCTCCACCAAAGCCACCACCACCACCACCACCAGCTCCTTTAGGTTCTGCAGGGAAAGAAAACACAATCTTTTCACATGTATGAAAACACCACCAGAGTATTCCACCAGGCCCGGCCCAAGAAAACAATAACGATAAAAGCTGGGCCTATAGTGGACAACTGGGATTTCATTAAAACGCAGGATTTTAAGGATTCACTCAACAGTAGTCTTAATATTTTAAAAATTCTTTGCAATCTGAAACAGTACAAAGATTTTGTTTTATTTTGCATTTGTTTCCAAAATAGTGAATGCAGACAGTTATAAGTACTGAAAGAAACTAAAACAGGCTGATGAGATAAAGAGTGCATGGAAAGGCTAGGATAGATGGGTGCCTGGGGATGGCTCTTTTAAGGACGTGATGTTTGAGCTGAGGCTAGCCATGGAAAGAAACAAAAAAAAACCCCAAAACAAAAAAACAAAAAAGAAAGGAAGAAGAGAGAAAATTATTACGAAGTATCCTATCTAACCTTCAGGGTTATTTCCCATGTCTTTGAGCTATTTTACAACAACCCTGTAAGTTGTAGAAAATTGATAACAATGCAAATGACATTTGTCCATAGAAATGCAAATTGGTTGTGATCAGTAGAATGCAACTGATTATTGACCCATTTTGCTCCTCTCTATAAATTCATTTCAGCATTTATCAGCCTATATATGTGTGAAACTTTGAATAATTCTCCTTTGAACATCACATTCCATTGATTAATGGGTTAAAGAAAATCTTCGATATATGTTCGCTTTATATCTATATGAGAGTCAATGATTATACCTCTTTAAAAAATTGTGTATTAACAATTTATTAGTGTAAATATGTTTCATGAGCTTAAGCATTGTTTAAAGTTCTACCCCCAGAAAACCTCGTTGAGTTTTTGATGAGTATTACATGAGACCTACAAATTAATTCAGGAGAACTGACACTTTATAATATTTAGACTTTAAGGAAACATGGCATATTTTCCCATGTCTTCTGATTTATTCTGTAAAGTTTTGTATTTTTCAATATATGAGTTACACATGTTTCTTGTTAGGGTTACTTCGAATACGTTTTTATTTGGTGAAATTGTGATGGAGATGTTTTTCCTACTGAATTTTGTGATTGGTTTATTACTGATGTCAGGAATTTCATTTGATATCTAATAAAATATTTTGCTATATTTTCTAAATTAAAATCTACAAAAAATTTGTTATCTTGGATTTTCTAGTAGATATAATGGTTTGTAAATAATAAAGGTTTGCCCTCTCTTTTCTATAGTTGTATCTTATCTTATTTCTGTTTTATATAAGTAATAACTTTGATGACTGAACTTCCATGACAATGTGAATTATTTTTTTGAGTTTATTTATTTTTTATGGTTACATTGGTTAACAAAATCCAATAAGTTACAATATAAATTATTAATGTTGCTAAAGAAAAACATTTTGTCTTTTATGAGAATGCCTCTACTGTTTCAAAATTATATACTATTGGTTTGAAATAATTTTTTTTCTTCATTCTAAATGTTCGTAGTCAGTAAGGATCCTCCTATTTTAGTTTTTTAAGACTTTCTTATGACATGAAATTTAATCAAATGTCAGTTCAGGATCTACTGAAATGATTATGTGGTTTTCCTTATTTGATATGGTAAGTTTATAGACTTTCTAATATTAAATATGAGATAAATCTTGATCTTGGTAAATTACTCTTTATTATACTTACTGAACTATTATTATTTTTTGATGTTTTAGTATTCTCTCATCTATGATCATAAATGATCTATCTATAGTATGATTTCTTACTGACATTTTGGGTCAGATAATTCTTTGTTGTGGGCGGCTGTCTTATTCTCTGTAGAATGTTTACAGCATCCCTGGCCTCTACCTACTAGATGGAACCCCTCCCTCACCAAGTTGTGACACCTAAAAATGCCCCGGACATTGCCACATGTCCCCTGGGACTCTGATATACAAGCTTTCTTTTTGTGCATATGCTGCCTTTGTTGAATTTTGACATTAGGATCATGCCAGGCTGATTATACCTATCGGATAGCTTTCCGTCTCTTCCTATGTTTGGGAATGAATGACTTACACAGCACTGGAATTAGCTCTCTCTTAAAATCTGAAAGAATTTACTGGTAAAATCATCTGGCCCTAAAGTTTTCTAGAGAGAAAGTAATTCGATAAAGTTTTCAGCTTTTTCCTTGCTCAATGGGGCTTCATGAGTGAATTTTGATACATTTATGCTTTTCTTAGAAAATTAATTTCTTTAAGATTTCAAATGATATAGCATATGACTTCATTGTAGCGTCCTTAATTTTAGAACATCTGTTTTGAATCTCTATCTGCTTTCTGGGTTCTTTCATTCGTTTGTTTTCTTTTTTCTGGATTAGATTTATCATGTCTTTGTTAGCTCTGTATCTTTTCTAGGTGTGGCACTTTTGGGATACTTATGGGAGTTCTGCTGATAGAAGAAATAATCTGATAACAAGCTCACAATAATGACTTCACCTAAAAACATAAATCAAATTACAATAACAATTTCTTGAAATGTATGCAAAATTGCTTCCAGATAAAATTGGAAATTGTTACTAATTTGAATTATTACCAATAATATTGATAATGTCCTTGTCATTCAAACATTATTCATTAATGGATGGTACATTTTGGAATACTCCATTGACATAGGACACCTTTACATAGTATTAAACATTCAAAGAGAGAAATCACTATCAGACATCATACATAAGTGTATCTTTCAGTAGAGAAGCTAAAGTAGTTGAAGATAGCTAACTAGCTCCAGGTGACTTCATCAGTAATTAAATTGCAGGACAAGGCTGACTTCAAGAGTTATATCATGCATAACCATGGTCAAGATTTTGATATAGAGTCCAAGGAGGTTTCACCTGCAAACAAATACAAAACCATGGCTGACTTTGCCACTTGCAAAGAGCTTGTGACAAAAGTATTGGTGTCCAATTCAGTACATGACAACAAGGGCATGCATTGGGTTGCATCCTGTATCTACCAAGCAAAGTACATCACTGAGCAGCTGGAAGGGAGAAGAACTAATACTTATTTCCATTTAATGGGAGGAGAAGTGGACCTTGAAGAATATAGTGAGTTTTCATTTGTGGATTCAGACTGTCCAGTATCTTTCACCGTCTAGGGAACTCACATTCACCTCCCTGAAGACTGGCCTCCCATTCGTAGTGGAGAGAACTACTGGGCTCTGTCCTGGAAGTGGCTATTTGTGGAGTTTCTCTGGCCCTGCAGGCACCATGACTCGATGGTTGTTGGACCAAGGCTGCCCAGATGTAAGTGACTCTACAGGGATCACCACGGGAGAATCTTGTGACGTGGATCAGGAGGACTAACGGATTGATTATACAATAACTGTGACAATTTTCTGGGCATTTTGATCTAGAGGTAAAACTGGGTCAAGGGTCAAAGACCCCATAGTCCCTTTCTGAGGTGTGGTGCATTCTCATTTGCACCACCTTGCCTGGTAACAGAACAGCACTTAAAGGCCTTTGCCTTGATCTTCCTCTTTTCCATTTACCTCCCACACCCATGTTCTCATGTAACCTAGATCCTTCTTCTCTACCTATTAGGTAGTTTTCCTAGAACTTCCTTAAGCCCTTCTTCCCCTCCACTTGGTTAAAGTCCTGCATCATTAGTCACTTATTAATTTCCTATTGAGTCCAAATGGGATCTGTGGTCTAGGATGAATTCTGGAAACATCTGCCTGGCATAGGAATGTGAGGAGATCGTCTCGGGGCCTGATTATTAACTACCAGTCGATTCTAGTTATGTATAATTTTTCGTTCTGTTGTTAAGAAATAATATGTAGCCCTGTGTGGTGGGTACTTGCTTGTTTATACACACCCTGCCTTGTTCCAAAAAGTATCTCAGACTTACAATGGATAGATAAGCAAGGCTGTGATCTCATCTGCTCTTTCGCCAAGTTCCTCATAATCATATCTTACATTTGAGTTTCACATTCCAGACAAGGAAACACTTTTATAAGCATTATCTCATTTGATGCTCACAACAAACTTGTGAGGACAGTAGAACAGGTATTAATTACCATATGCATTTTACAGATGAAGACAATAAGGCTTGGAGATAGTAAGTGATGGATGTGTCAGGACTCGAACCCACATCCTTTGATTCCAAGACTATGAATCTTTCCATATTTCATGCTGCCTTTTGATCTGTGATTCAAGGAGCAAAGGGTTAACTTCCAGAAAGCGTCTGAATAATTCAGAGAACTGCTGCTGTGTGTGTCTTAGACAAAGAATTATTATACTGGCTTCCTGCAGCATTAGAAGGAACCCAAACCGGAGCCCTCACACAATGAGTGATACAGTCCCTTATTCTGCTAGCTTTGCAGCTGTTGCTAAGCAAAAAAAAAAAAATTGGGGGGGGTGGGAAGGGTAGGGTAGGCTCTAAACCATTTATCTCCACAGAAAATAACTTTTTCACTTACTGTCCAATATTGGTGCACTTCTGTCATTGGTAACTGTCTTCTTTAGTTTCTTCCCTTTGTTGATGTCAGAGAGAAGAGCATTTCTCCCAGCCTGCTCTGACTTATTCAAGGTAGGTTTTTCTGTATTGGCCTGAAAGGAAACCATGCAAACTCATATTTATCTCTTGAATTAAAATCATGTACTACACCACTGAACAGGGACAGCTAGAGAGAGTATCAGAGGCTCATTATTAAGGTTCTTGGCGATAGACTGTAAATTCTCCACAAATTTTAGACCCGATGTCATTCTTTTTAAGACCCGAACATTTGGGAGCAGATGCAGCAATAAATTACACTCATTTTTAATGCAGGAAGAGTCAGTTCCTGATAAAAGTCCCTGAAAATTCAGACCATTGTCTGGCCATAAGCAACAGAGCCAGGGGTGGATGTTGAGAGCAGAGAAGGGACGAGAAAGGAATTTTAAGTCTGAGAAGATTCTGCAGGATACCATAAGGCTTCATTTTCTAGAATGTGTCCTGAAGAATAACTTCTCTTTCCTATCTTTTAGAACTAACCTGATGCAAGGAGAAAATTGTCTCCAGTAAAAGAGTCAGCTGTATTATTTTTAATTCACCAAAGTTTTAGAAAATTATTCCCTTTGTTAACATTGCTGAAGTTTATTTTTTAATTTAAGGGAGATTTGAGGTATAATTTACATATAGTAAAATCATCCTTTAAGTGCATAGTTCTATGAATTGTGACAAACATACACTCATGTAGCCACGACCACAATCAAGATGTACAAAATTTCCATTACCTCCCAAAAGTGTCTTCATGTCCCTTTGGCCTAAGGTGTTTCTGATTTTCATCTCTTTGAAAGCTTAGCACACAGAGATTGCAGAGCAGACAAAGATGCTGCTTAAAAATGTTTGGGTACTATATTTTCAGAATTCCTGGGAAAGATCCTTACTATGAAATTGGGCTCTTGTTTATTCAGGGTTATTTTAGGGGGTGAGGATACTAAGAGCCTGGCATACATACTCAGAAGTAGGCATGCACCTGTGCCTGTCACGCTTGGAAACTAGCTTGGTCTGGCCTGGCCCCAGGTAGAGTCTTTCCGGCAGACCTGAGAGTTCATCTTGGCTGACCCTAGCCCTTCAAAAAGGATCTGATTTTAGAGGTGCTAGTGAGGGCCACAGTAGGTTGTCCTGGGAGAGTTTAGCTTGATATCTCAACCCAGCTATTTACTATAGTTAGAGGCAGTTAGAGGCAGAGAGAGAGCTAAGAAAAACCGTGAAGTAGGCTACAAGGAATCTGTGTGTTAAGCTGGAAGGGTCTTGAAATTATTAAATTATTATAAAGTATTGCTCGTGATAATAACAGTTAACACTTATATAGCTTTTACTAAGAGCCAGACACTGTTTTTAGCACTGTGTATTAATTCATTTAATCCTCATCAACCCTGTAAGTCATTATTTTCATTCTAGAGACAAAGAAACTAAGGTACGGAGAGGTTAAATCATTTGCCCCAGTCAGCCAGCTGGGAAGAGGAAAAGCTAGGATTCAAACCCTGGCTCCAGTCTGACTCCAGAGCCCTCCCCGCTGGCAGGGTAAATGTGGGATCTAAAATGGCCCTTCCACGAACTGAGAAGATGTTAAAGGGTACAAACTTGCATCTAGGAGATGAACTAGTTCTGGAGCATAATAATTACAGTCAACAATGCTGTAGTATAAACTTCAAAATGACTAAGAGGCTGGATCTTAAACGTTCTCACCACGAAAAAGAAATGATAATTGTGTGATGTGATATATTAGCTAAAGCTATGGTGCTAATTATATTGTAACATATAAATGTATCAAATCAACACATTGTACATCTTAAACTTACAAAATGTTATATGTCAATTATATCTCAATTTAAAAAAGTTAATAAATAAAACGCCTCTTTCCCATTAGCCCCAGCAATACCCTGAAGCAAGCCCATTAGGAGCTTGTTGGCAGTCAGTTCCAGAAACGCTCTTTGTATAGAATTTGCTTTTGCTAATGGGATCGTCCTCTACTGCTCTGAAACTTGTTTCTACAACTTAACAACATACCTTGGACATCTCAGAAAGAGCTTTTAGAATTATCTACTGTCTTCGTTGTAAGGATTAAAAAGCCTGAGGCCCAGAGAGGTTAAGCGATGTGTCCACATCAGATCTCTTAATAGTTTTCGGTCAGCAACCCTCACCAGCCTCCTGTTCTGCCTCCAAATTTATTTTGATACCTGCCCCCCGCAGATGCTAACTTCTGTCATGGGGCAGTCCAGGGCCCCTAAGTGTGCTTGTTCCATAGGTGGTGTCCTATGGTGGCCACCAACCCACCTTTTCCTTTTCTCATCTCTATATGCTATTTCTCCATGATCTTGCTTTTAGTCAAGGAATTACAGATAGAAATGAGTTGATGGGATAAATCAAGGTTTCCCAAACTTCAATAATTCTGATACAGCTCTCATGATTTTGGTCATCATGTCATGCTACCTGTGTTATTACTCATTTAATGTTTTTCATTAAGTCTGCTTACTATATTATTTACTATACTATTTTTCAGAGAAGATTTTATTTTAAATTAATTTACCATTAACCCCTGGGTGTGCTAGTTATAATTTTAAAACACATTAAAATAAACACATGAGCATTAAAATTTAAAAAAATTAAGGCATGTACTATCCAGCAGTGGTATACAACCTGCCTTTGGGGGAAATATAAATTAATCCAATGTTAGCCAGATCAAAGCTTTTCAAACTTACCTAAGTGAAGGACTAATTTTTAAGGAAAATTTCCAATCTATCATGGACTGATACTTTTGTAAAATTACAATGAATTATTAGAAAAATGAATCAGTAAAAGGCACACAATACAATCTTAGAAACAACAGACATAACACTACTCTCAAACTGCTATAAGAGTTTCCGAATGCTTACTCTATATTTCCGTACTTATCTCTGTGGGAGCTGTAACCAGCAGTTGGAGGACCACACCTTAAATAGCAATGAGCTAAGTAATGGTCTGTTCTTCCAACTAGGTTCCAACCTTAGATGGGCTATATATATGTGTCCCATGGAAGCCTGGGCAAGAGAGTTTTCTTCTCTGAGCCTCAGTTTCCCCAAGTGAAAAATGGAGGCCCATCACAGGGAGGCCCCTTAGTGGCAAAGGTTTCACAGGCTGGGGGAGGCTTTTGTAATGGGACATGGCTGGGAGCCCTTCCCTCTCACCACATGGAGGGTTGCTGGCTTCCTGGAAGAGGGTCCACTAACTTCTAAGGATGGGTCTATCAAGGACCAGGATGAGCCCAAAGAAAAAGTTCCTTTGGAAAGTTGGCATCTAAATGCAAGGATAGATTTAAAGGTGGATGTTAGTGTATGGGAGGTAAATCAGGGGTATGGGGGATGGGCGTGATATTTGTCAAAAATAGAGAGTGGGAAGAAAGAGCGGGGGAAAGTCAGGAAAAAAGAAAGAAGTCTGGAGGACACTTGAATGGATGCATTTGCAGACAGAGACCTGGGGCTTTTAGACTGTCCTGCCCCAAAGTTAAAACCTAGAAGTTGAGGCCATGTGAATGGAAACAGTGCAGGCCCTGCAGAACTGCTCCTGCAAACCTGTCTCGGGCCAGCATGTGGGAAGGAAAAACAGGACACTTCCCTTGATGGAACCAGGCCACATTCCACGTGCGTACTCCATGCACTGCAAGAGACCTTAGACAATAACCCCTTTGCGCTACATTCCCTACAGCTAAGAGGCTGGCTTACTCCGGCGCCTGGAAAGCTTGCCATATTGTATTTAAGCCAGAATGCAAATACATTTAAAACAAATACACGTGTGCCGGGTTCGACTTCATTTGGCTGCTTCATGCGTGGATAACAAATGGTATGGAGCCACTCACCAGAGCAAACGTGGGGGGCGGCGGGGGCGCTGGCGGGGGAGGGACAGGCATCTTGGACAGTTACGCTTTCAACAATCTTGCTGATAAATCTGTAAAAACAAAACAAAAGGAAATACAACATGGTTAGACTCCTTACGTTAGACTCCTTAGTAATAATGCTCTGTTCTAGGTGTCCCCCTTTCCTATCAAAATGACAGCTATTCACATCAGCCAACTTTTATAAGAGGTGAAATGACCTTTACAACATTGCTAAAATGACCTTTACAGTCCTTGCTGCTGCTCCCAGTTCTGGAGGACCCCAACAGGGTAGGTTTCTGAGACTAAGTGCCTAAGATACGGGAAGCAAAACCCAGCACCTCATGCTGCCCAATTCCACCACCACCAAAGCAGGTCGGGGGAATGACACGTGCAAGGTCCCTGGGCCTGTGGCTCGAGAAGCTAGCTGGAAGGTTATCGTGATGTTGCTAGAAATGTATCTCAGCAAAGTGATGTTCAAGTGGCTCCTGTTCCTCACTCATTTCCATGACAAGGTCCCTTCTTGCGCTCCTACTCCTGCTCACTCGGAGCCCAGCTGTTTTCTCTGTGCAGAGATTCCTGACATTTGCCTGGGTCTGGGTAAAACAAACGTGAATCTCTTTCTGTTCTTATGGCCGACCAGGGAAAGGAGACGGGGGTAAGGTAAGGTAGGCAGGAAAGACAGGCGAGGGACTAGATTCCTATCTTTGTGCTACCTGGCATTTCCTTGTAGGATCTAAGTGCGAAAAAAGAGGAGAAAAAAGAGATGACTTAAACCTATGATAGGACTCCAGGGCTGTTTACTAGAAATATGCTTTATTAGGAAAGCTTCCTGTACCATGTGATTGCTCTGGGAACAGAGGGAAGGCCAGACTCCGCAGCTGGGTGGGAGGGTTGGGGGAAACCCTGGTGGGTGGCAGCAGTGACAGAGGCAGTGGGCAAACATCAGGGGCTGAAGGAACAGTGGTAAGCCAGTGCCCTAGGAGTTACACCGGCCACGAACCCTGGCCTCAAACCCCTCCCCTTACCCCGTCCTCAGAGTTCCATCCCTGGGTCTCGTCCCGCCAGGTCCCAGCCCTGGCAATGTTTCACCCACTCACTCACTCTAAGTAATCCCAGCATCTCCCACCAGTCCTTGCTGCTGCTCCCAATGTGGCCCCTAATCAGCAGCATAGGCATCACCCAGAGCTGTCAGAAACATCAAATCTCAGCCCTGCTCCCTGCCACTGAATTTGTTTTAGCATTTTAACAAGATCCCTAGGTAATTCGTATGCACTAAAATTTGAGAAGCCTGGTTGTAGAGACTGAGCCTTAAACCAGTGGGCAGCCTGGAACACTGACCACCTGAGTAACCCCGTTTCTATGGAACATGTGTCCTGAGTTTCAAACAGCAGAATTATCTTCCTTTTATTCTCAATAATCTCTTTAATTACAGAAAACAATTTCTTAGACTTTAAATTTAGTTAATGTGGAAAACTTACAACTTGAAACAAATAAGTCCCATTAAAGTTTTGCTAGATGTCTCTCTGGAAACAGAACTAGAACGGAAAAGCTAAAAAGACGTAGCCAGACTTGTCAAAGCTGCTGGAAGACAGGAATTAAGACTGTTTGCAATAGTTTTGTTCAAAGTGGGCCGTCTAGAAAATGAAATTTTAAAAACTCAGCAGCGGCAACAGCAGCTCTCATTCGTTGACAGTCAGTTGGATCCAGGGCACGTTACTTATATTGTCTCTAAATTTTACAGACATTGCAAACTAGCATGTTTCTGTTAGTTTTACAGAGGACACTGAAACTCAGAGAAATTAAGTAACTCACTAAAAGACCCACACAATTCATTCAAATCAAGTCCTTTAGATCCCCGCTTTTCAGATAAGCATGTTTAGGTAGCTAAAGGGCTAACTAGTACTACCGTTCATCTGTAAACTAGGTCAGACTCTGTTTTTCAATAAGAGATCGTCTCAGACAAGGATTCTTTTAAAATGTGTTCCTTAAATTGGTTTTCTGCATGACACCAATTAGCCATTTGTGGGGCCACGTGGACAGTGTGAGCAGGGTCGAGTGCCTGTGTTAAGAGGCCTATAAAGGGGGTTCTCCAGCTGCAGGAGGCACCATCGGAAGCCACAGAGTCAGTGTGTCCAAGGACCAGAAGGAAGGACAGGATTCAGGTTCGACTAACTGTGAAAGGTGCTGTGGCCAAAGCAATGGTATTAACAGACCTGGAGGAAGCAGCTCAACAAGGAGGTGGTGTGGCTGGGATTGCCCAAAGGGCCCAAGAGACCAGCTCCGTGGAAAAGATCATCCATGTGCTTGGTGGATGAAACGCCCTGCAGCACTCGAATTCATTGTGTCAGAGTGCATATTCAGCAGCTGTTATCCTAACACTGAGGAAGAAGTGGCATCTGGTCAACCACCAGGAACCTCTCTTGGGTTAGGTTCTCATCAGTCAGTCTGGTAGCAAAGATCATATTGAACTTCTGTCCTCTACCTCGTAGAGGCCAGACTGTGGGATAGGGACCCTTTTATCGGACTGCTCTCCTGCAAGGCTTCTTTAATCTAATTATATTACAATTTTCTGTTGTTGCCATTATGGTTCTGACTATGCACTAAACTGACTTATAAAATAAACCTCTGGACCACAGAAGCTCGGTCTTCCCCTCCTCGCCACCTCAGATAAACGACGGGGAGAGGATCTGTGGGTGAGTGCTCTCACCTCTCTGAAGGTGATGCAGACCTAAGTACATTTAACAACACAAGGTTCAGTGTGCTGACCCCTGTGCAGTTGAGAATTCATATTTAACATATGACTCCCCCAAACCAAAACTTAACTTCTAACAGCCTACCATTGACTGGAAGCTTTACCGATAACACAAACAGTAAATTAATGTATATTTTGTATGTTAGATGTATTTTATATTGTATTCTTTAGTAAAGAAGCTACAGGGAAGAAAATGTTATTAAGAAAATCATAAGGAAGAGAAAAATCCATTTACAGTATTTATTGAAAAAAATCCACATCTAAGTGGGCCTTCGTTGTTCAAACCTGTGTTGTTCAAGGCTCAGCTGTGCTCCTGCCTCCCCTGCACTGCCTTCCTTGCCCCGCTACCTCTCCTCCAGACAAACCCCTCCCATGCCCACCTCAATGCTGAAAGGTGATTACAGAGGCTTCCATGGTCTCTTTGCTCCTTTCTGGCTGAACAACTGCTTTATATGGACTTGTCCAGGCTGGGGCCTTAAGAGAAGTTTGCGAGAAACTCTAGACTCCAATCCTGCCTTACCACACGGGTCAAAGACCAACCTCATGTCCCTCATGCCAGGCCTACACCATGCCTACTTCTTCCCATCAGACTGTGAAGTCCTCCAGGTCTCCCTAATACCTGGCACAAAGTAGGTTTCTTGCTAAATATGTGTGGAGTGCAAGAGACAGGTTGTCACACAAACAAGCCATGTGCTGGCCATCAGAACGGCTTCCAGCATCAGCCCTTGTGAATTCTGAGGTTTGGGGAAAGAATCAGCCCTATGTTAGGGGAGCTTGCTAGCATTACATACTTGGACTGTCAGCCTCCAACTTGGCCAGTGGAGCGGAACTCAAGGCCTTGGGAAAGCCCTGGCTCCCCTCCTCTCATGGAGTTAACAGCCCACATCCGAACCAGAACTGGGCCTTACTGAAATGCCTCAACAGCAGCCTAGACCCTAACGGATCATGCATTCCTAACCTGGATCCTTACACCCACAGGGTCTGTGGATCAAATTCAGGGGTTTGTGAACTTGGATGGAAAAAAAGGACATATTTATTTCTCCTAAGCTCGCATTTTCTTCAATTATGAATGTAGGTCACAAGTCCCAGTACCTGACTTGAAATATTTTTACCTATAGTTTTTCACACAATATTTTCTCATATTACAATTGTTATAGATCTCTTTTGAAATTATGGCAATGTTTTTACATCTATTACTCGATCTTGTACATATTTCAATATAACTAGTTTCCTTGGTAATCCTTTATATTTTGTTTTGTGCATTTAACAACAGTTCAAGAGGAATCCTTTGGGCTTTATCTGAAACTAGTGTGGTCTATGGCAGGGGTCTCCAACCCCAAAGCCATACACTGGTACCAGTCCATGGCCTGTTAGGAACCAGACCGCACAGCAGGAGGTGGGCTTTGGGCGAATGAGCAAAGCTTCATCTGTATTTGCAGCCGCTCCTCAGTGCTAGCATCACTGTCTCAGCTCCACCTCAGATCATCAGGCATTAGATTCTCCTAGGAGCACCAGTCGCTGGTGCCAAAAAGATTGGGGACCGCTAGTCTATGTAATGAAAGGGTTAGAATCCCTGTAAGAACATGAGACCTGGGTCAGGCAAATATGATTTTTAATCTTTGCTCTGCTACCTAGTAACCTAAGAATCTTACCTCTCCGAACCTCACTTTCCCATCTTTTAAATGGGGATTGCTGGGGAGGTGGGGGATGAAATGAAATCGTGCAAGGCAAGCTCTCAGCATGGCTTGTAGAGTAAGCAATCAGTAGGCAAGTCTAGAACTGTCTTCCTTGAGGGTGAGCACAGGTCCTGCAGGTGTGAGTGCTGCTCAAACACATGGTGGAGGAGGGACCCAGATGGGGACTGAGCCAAGGCCCTTGCTTTACCCAGAGTCCCTGCATGGGGTAGGAATGGGGCAGCCTTGCTGCATGCAAAGTTCCTTTGTCGGGAGATGGGAGCACGGCAGGAAAGGCAGTAGCATCCCAGGGCCAGGAGGGGCCTTCAAGCTAGGGGAAGGATTAGGGCAGCGGTTTGACAACTGTGGGCTACGCCTCGCATCAGAATCATCTGTGTGCTTTTTGAGACCGCTGTGTCCTGCCTCTCACCGTAGTGAGGCTCCCCAAAGTTGGAGGGTCACTGATCAGCCTGTTTGTTGACCTTTGCCTTCTCATTCCACCCCCACCCCTGGCACTGAACTTTTAAGAACATACACTTTTGAGAATTTATTTTAAAGATCATTTCATTGTTTAAATAACTTTCATCATAGGGAATAAAGCCAGACTTTTCTAAAATAGTCACCTTGCGTGTTAAATTTTGTGCAC